AATTTGCTTTAAAATAGGAGATAATTTCCTTGTTAAGATGGTCAGCGGTCACTTTTAACCTACAATTTCTGGATTTGTCTTTGCTTTCGAGACATTTAAATTTCCAGGAGTGCACATCTTGCCAATAAGCTTTCATTTATAGCCTTGTTCTCCATCATTCTGCTCATATGTCTAGCGAGCAGGTCTAAGCAGGCAAGTTGTGGAATAAAATAGAGCATATGTTTCCTTTATTAAGTACTGTTTTGGTCTCTGCATTACATATTCAGTCTTGTGGTTTGGGATAATAAAAAGCTTCCATAGTCCACCCATTTAATCTACGATAAAAGAGAGGAACGAGAGCTTGTGAAACAGGGAGAGCACACTTCTAAGAGAGATTTCAGCAGACAGTGTTATGAGGAAAAATTTTAGAAAATGGAAGCCCCACGCAGACTGTTACTTAGCTGGCCAAGGTGAATTTGAAGAATATGTAATAGAGTATTAGACATTAGGTGGTTACTTCTTGGATATTTGCCAGTGAATCTGACGTCTTCCTGCTAAAGTAGAGTGTTAAATCTATACACTACGTTGGAGGAATGAATAGCAAATATTTAGATCAAGATATATTTTGTATGAAAATAAAAATGTTGTAGCGTTTGATCACATGCACCTACACTGTGTCTGTAGAGATTATGCACTATTGATGTGTTTATATGCATAAACATAATTCAGAACAATTTTCATCTAATTAAACTACAGTTAGTTCAGCTTTATTTAACAGTTGTTGACAGGACTGTTTTTGATGTCCATCTTAAAAATACATTTCCGTGTAAAAACGTGTAGCTTACCTGCCAAAGCCATTCCGAATTACACTTTTCCTTTATATAAATTAAAGTATTTTGAATTCAGTTTTTATAGTAGAAAAAGAATGGGTTTGGCCAAATTGTAAAGTGAAAATGAATAAATGGTTATTATCTATGAGATCTGAAGATGACACGGACAGATTTGTGATGGTGTAAATAAAACAGAGAGATGTGATCTGGAAAGCTATGGAATGGGGATGATGATAGCGAGATGATGTTAAGTAATGGTGAATATATGATGAATGTGGACAATCTGATGGAAGTGGATATGTGATTAGTGGGGTGTGATGTCGAGAGGAGAGACAATTTCACAAAGAAGGGATTTTGAGAAAATTGTTGGTTTGAGTTGTAAGACAGGACAATGGAGCAGGGTATAAAGAGGGGATAAAAACAAACAGAAATATTCTCTTAATTGGGATTTGTCAGTAATTCAAAGTGAATTTCAAACTGTAGCCCAAAATTGCCAAACTGAAAATATGGGAAACTAAGAGATTTTGTTCCCTTTTGGTTATTTTGGTTTAAAATTAGTAATTCACTTTGATTTATAATTGTATGTGAAAGACTTGAATAAAATTAACTATAATATGGAATGGAATGGGACACAGTGGAAGGAGGGCAAAGTGAGGGGGGATAGATGTGTGTGTAATATGTGGTGAAATGAGAAACAGCATAACAGTAAAAGCCTGAAAATTTTAACTTTTGTCTGGCTCCTTAGAATTGACCCTGGCTTCTAGATTATTGGAAAATTTGTCAAGTCCTGATTTCACCTTTAACGTATCCAGATTTCACAACCCAGGTATTGCTTAATTTGTATAGTTAACCTAGCATCAACCCTCCTCAAGCAATCCAAGGGTTAAATGTGGTGGAGATAATTTTTACATATCCTGTAATATGCTGTATTTAAATGCCAGCAGCCATTAATATACTGTATTTAAATGCCGTCAGTGGTCATGGTCTCTTCTCACTTCCCATAGAGCACCTATTACACCCATTAGATTAAAAAAAATCTGTACTATGGATTTTTCTCTCGATGGACCATCTTATTCTATGCTTCCGTTGGAATTTTCATCTCATTCAGCGGTACTAAAGTAGACGGCCGAGATTAGCGTAATGCACATTTGTGCTCTTTAAGAGTCCATTGCTGAGACACCAGATTCGACAAAAGAGTTATAGATCCAAACTGACATGTCCCACGCCAAAGTGTGTAGTCAACATTTGTAAATCTATGAATAAGTTATATTAATTAATGTAAAGACTGTGTTGTTTGATTACAGGAAGCTTTCTAAGTAAGAGCAGATAAGAGGCTGTTCCTGGTTATTGAATGCACAGTTTATGTGTTTTTGCTCCCAAAGGATGTCTCATAATTGCACTGAATGTGAAATTGGCCTACTTTCTTAAAAATGTTCTTGGTGGTGTCAGAGAAGAGGTGTATGCATCGGGGAAATGTTTCAGCTATTTGGAAACCGAGATGTTTCTTTCCCTTTCTCCCTAGATATGTAGCTATCTTACGGTTTGTTTAAGAAGCCGCAGCAGCCTATTGCTAATCACGAACTGGAGAGATACGTGCTTCTAACAGATTTAACATGTCTTTATTGCAATGGGCACGAATGAAAACACACTGGCCACATTTTCATTTTGTGGTTATTTGTTTTTTTGTTTGTGTTTTAATGAGCTTATAGAACATAGTTTTTCTGCTCCCATGACCTAACACAACCTACCCAATGACACACACGCAAAATGGATATGGTTAAATAGACAAAGTATTCATTAAAGTAATTATTAGAACCAATGTTAATTGTTCAAGTATCAAAATCCTTAACCACCTGGTGCCGGCTGGATACAGTGTCAGACAACATGTACTCACATTACTAAAATTAAATACCTCTAGTACCCCTGCAGGATTCCTGCCAACATAACACCCCATCCTGTATTTTAATACAGAGCTTCCCAACAGCACTGACTAGATACCTTCTGCCAATAATATTCCATTTATCAACATCTTCTGTTATTAACGGTGTGTCTGTTACTCCTCCTCTAATGCAATGTGTGCCCCGTCTGTGCCAAGACTGGCTGTGAAATAAATTGATCCATTTTTAATATACGATTTCAAATAAAACGAAGCACTTCATAAATACATGGTTAACACACATTACAGGGGGCTTTTAATGTTTTATTCCATGACGTAGTTTCCTGAGAAGGGAAGGGTCCCATTTAAACTACATTTTCGCCATCTTCTCTGCAGATGTGTTCAAATAAAAACAGTGTTTTCATTTCTGCTCTTCTTTTCCTGGGACAACAGTGTGTAGGACTGCATCAAACTTCCAGAGAGAGTTTCTACCTGCATGGTACAGATCAGTTAATCTGTGTACCGCAGAGCTTTCATTCACCTTAGCACACACACCCCTGTGCTTTTTACACATCCCCATCTCTCTTTTGCCATTTACCTATAAACCTGGGTGCTATATAACATCACATGTATATGTAAACACATTTATAAAACGTTACATCGGTTCATCTACCCTCTGTTTTTTTATGCACCTTCTAAAACCCCTTCCCAGCCCTGTGGAGCTCGTGCTTGTTCTCGTACAGTGCGCCTTTGTTCGAACATTCCATTGGTCTGTGAAGCAGAACTTTCCCTGCCAGGTTGGATTCCTTGCTAGTTTGTTAGGTAACAGGCCTCAAGGAAATTGTTTTAGTGGAATCGCACACCCAAATAACAGCACAGCTCAAATAATAACTCAACATTTATATTTTGGTTTTCTGTACTTCATTGTTTTGCCCTGTATAGATAACTTTTGTCTTAATTATCTGAATGCCTTCACTAGATCCTTAATAACTGTAATGCCAAATGTTAATATTGTTTGTAACAGCCTCACTTAGACAGACCCGGAGGAAACCTGCTCTAAATTGGTTCTGCAAGGTAGACTAAGACTTATTTTCATTATGGCTCACTTTTAACCCGTTCATAGTCAGTATTAGACAAATCCTTCACTATCAAGGCAGCCTTAACATGCTTTGGGTCCTGAAGCCCTTACTATGTCAGAATTGATTAGTTACAGTTCATATATCTCTTTCTTTCCATTCTACAAGCATTCACATTTAAATATTAAATACATATACAGTGGCGGGATGGGGGGGGGGGGTCCATCCCTCGCCCTCGGCAGATGTTGTTGAATTTTATTTCACAGGATTTCCTGCTAAGGAATTCTGGGAAATGTATTTTAGCAATAGCACTAGAGGTTTACAGTAGGATATCCCTTGTTTACAGCTTATATCACAATAGGGTTTCTGAATAAATCGGTGTACAACCTGCAGCTCTACTCTTTGAGTGGAAGCTAGCTTAATCCTTTAAACTTTGTGGAAAGTTTACAAAAAATATACCTGGCCTGTACTAATTGAGCTAAATTGTTCCCATGTGGTTTGATTAGAAGCAGCTCAACTCTTCCTGAAACAAACATTCCATGCAACAGGTGCACCCTTTCATTGCCACAGCTTTCATGCAAGCCATTGCCGTGGGACTCAGGCTGGTTTCTCTTTGAATCGGTATCGAAAACCAAAACATAAAATAGTTGATCTTAATTCATCTCAGCAGGATCAGAAGGTTTTTTGTTTTTTTTTATTGAAAACTGAATAGTTATGGAAGTTAATCCATTAAAACACATTGCCAAAGAAAATTTAAATTAGTGTGTTTTAACTCTCATGAAAATATGTGTCTTTATAATGATGGGATGTTCTGTTTCACAAGGGAGGCTTGGCTGAGAATGATGTGTTACAGTCAGCAGCATATTTATCATATAGCTATTACATTTAGCACAGGTTATTTCATCACCCCAGTAGACATTTTGGATGCTGTGCACTTCAATTCTCAGCATTTTAAGCAAGGGTTTTCTTGCATGAGATTGATTAAAAATACATCATATTTTTTTATACAGTTGGACATATAAATAGGAAAACACAAAGAGCAAATGCAAGAGTGTAGTCCTCAAATGTGAAAACACTTAAAGCTGATATAGGTGCTAAAAAACATGAGGCTTACATAGTAACAAATCGTTTCAAAGTTGATAAATTGAAGGATAGAGCTAACTGCTCTCCTCATGCAGTGTAGGCTATCAGGTTTGAACACAGGGGGTTATTCAAAGGATAGTGCTAACTGCTCTCCTCATGCAGTGTAGGCCTTCAAGTTTGAACACAGGGGGTTATTCACCAAACTGTCATTACCGGGTTTTCCCTCTGGAGCAGACTGATAGCAGTAAAATACAGGGTGGGTCCTATTGATGTCCAAGTAGTAACACTATTGCAAAATTGCAATGCTAGAGCTCCAGTGAATTAGCCTTAAATCACAGTGTGTAAACAGGGTTTCTAATGGATAGTTGTAACAGTCCTGGTATATTCTATGTAGACCCTACGAGATGGGACACCACAGGGAATCGATGCTATCTCTAACTTAGAGACTTACATTTTGGTGCGACTGAAGCAGAGATGTTAGCATGCCATTCTCAGTGATAGCCGTAGCATAGAACACCCATGAAAGTGTTACTAGGAGATTTAGGGAACTACAATAGCGGTCCTCTTACTGTATTTGAATGCCGTACGAGTTTCCCTATGGTGTCCCATCTCGTAGGGTCTACATAGAATATACCAGGACTGTTACAACTATCCATTAGAAATCCTGTTTACACACTGTGATTTAAGGCTAATTCACTGGAGCTCTAGCATTGCAATTTTGCAATAGTGTTACTACTTGGACATCAATAGGACCCACCCTGTATTTTACTGCTATCAGTCTGCTCCAGAGGGAAAACCCGGTAATGACAGTTTGGTGAATAACCCCCTGTGTTCAAACTTGAAGGCCTACACTGCATGTGGATAGCAGTTAGCTCTATCCTTTAACTTATTAACATTGAATAACCCCCTGTGTTCAAACCTGAAGGCCTACACTGCATGTGGAGAGCAGTTAGCACTATCCTTTAACTTATTAACATTGAATAACCCCCTGTGTTCAAACTCGAAGGCTTACACTGCATGTGGAGAGCAGTTAGGACATCCTTCAATTTATCAACTTTAAAACGATTTGTTACTATGTAAGCCTTTTTATACTGTTTGGGGAACGCTTTTCACTAGCATTACTATTTGGTTACAATTGCAACTATTGTATCCTTCTGAGATAGAAGGTTAATAAAGAATTAAAAGATTTACATGTTTATGGATACATTAGTTAGCTTTACCACTAAGGAGTTGAGTGTTTTCCCCTGATCCATACCAATTTTTCTCTAAGCAAGTTAATTAGGTATATTTTGGTGTAAATTATTTTCGTGTTTTTTAGTACCTATATCAGCTTTGAGTGTTCTCACATTTGAGGACTACTCTCTTGTATTTGCTCTTTGTGTTTTCATATACAATTCAAGGGTTCAAGCCCATTCGGTGGAGCTGGTACCACCATCCTGACCACATTTTCCCAGTTTCTGATCCTTGTTTTTGGACAGAAAAAGGGAAACTTTCCACTGCATTATCGGACATATAAATAGATACAAATACGTATTTGTGTTGCCAGTGTTCAAGCTACAACATTTCTTACTGGGTGTGAATGTAAACTACCATTCATAATTGAAACTTTTACATTATGATGCGCCAGGATGTTTTTTTTTAAAAACAGTGTAAATCACTTGACGTGGGGATATATCTGACAGCTGTGGAATTATACTGAAATAGTGTGAAGTGTCTTGCAGGTTCTCAGAATCATTTCCAATGGGTTGGACTGTCTCCAAGTTTGCCATAAAGCTTTGAATTTTAAATTAATTCTTCTTTCCCCCGTGAATACCTGGGAATAAAGAGCAGCCCTTCTTATAGAACCACAGGGTTTTATATAGAGTACCTTCCGTTCTTACAAAGATTCTGCCGTGTTCGGGTTGCCCTGGGAATTAATGGATCCATATAGCAGTGACCATATTAATGCAAAGCACAAACATATACCAGATTGTCTCTGAAGTTACTCATATTTGTTTCTTGTTCACTGCAGTGGTCTGAAAACAAAAAATAAATAAATGACCAAATATTTTTAAGATGAAAAAAGGTAAAAATTGTTACATTCTTTTTTTGTGTCCGTAATGTACCTAATCTTGATTTCTTTTTCTCACAGCGTACTCAACACCCAGCACTTCCCCTGCAAACCGATTCGTCAGTGTTGGTCCTAGGGATCCAAGCTTTGTAAATATCCCTCAACAGACACAGGTGGGTAACTGTGAATGAGACACTACATCTGATGTGATTTGTAACAATTACAGATATATTATGTTACATGCGATATGGAGGATACCACTTAAAAAAAAAAAAAAAAAAGCACTATTTAATAACTTGGAATCTTTGTGCAACTCATCCATTTAAAATATTTGAGTAAGCTGTTTAAATAAAATATGATTTTTTTTCAAAATATATACATTTTAAAAGTTTCTCCAAACATATTAAAGGATCACTATAGGGTCAGGAACACAAACATGTATTCCTGACCCTATAGGGTTAAAACCACCATCTAGCCCCCCTGGTCCCCTCATGCCCCCATAAATATAGTAAAAGTTTTACTGTATTCAAGCTTAAAGCTCTAACTCTGCATGCTGTTAGACTCAGAAAAACAAGCAGTGTGTTGACATCATCAGAAGTGGTAGCCAGATCCAATCACAGTGCTTCCCCATAGGATTGGCTGAGACTGACAAGGAGGCAGATCAGGGGCAGAACCAGCATGATTCAAACACAGCCCGGGCCAATCAGCATCTCCTCATAGAGATGAATTGAATCAATGAATCTCTATGAGGAAAGTTCAGTGTCTGCATGCAGAGGTAGGAGACACAGAACGTTTGGATACATTTTTGGCAGCCATGACCCAGGAAGGATCTCTAACAGCTATCTGATGAGTGGCCAGTGAAGTTATCACTAGGCTGTAATTTAAACACTGCATTTTCTCTGAAAAGACCGTGTTTACAGCAAAAAGCCTGAAGGTAATGATTCTACTCACCGTAACAAATTCAATAAGCTGTAGTTGTTCTGGTGACTATAGTGTCCCTTTAAACCATTTCAAATTTGTATCCAAAAATACTGTAATGTTAGGAATACAGAGCTGTATTCCTAACACTATAGAGACCCTCTACCCCCATCGCTTACATTAGGCCTTCCTCACAGGAAGGCATTGAATCAGTTCCTTACCAAGGGGGATTTCAAGATGTTCGATGTCTTCATGCAAAGCTTGAGGACGTCCAGCCTCGTTTCACAGAGTCAAACTTTGTGAGAATGCAGGAAGTAGACAACCACTGGAGGTAGGCTCAATCCTGCAATAGAAACATTGCTGTTTTTCTAAAAAAAATATTATAAAGGAACTATCAAGCAAAAGTCATGATGCCCAATCATAAAAGGGACATTGAACCCTGGAGATGGACACACACTCTCAATCTTGAATGGAATATAAATATATTCCATAAAAAATATACAAAATGAATGCGTGCAGCCAGTTCTGATCTTTTTGTTGTTGTCCGTGTTAATGTTGAGCATATCCCATTAACATATGGCATTTGTAGTTCAGTTTGTGTGTGTATTTTCTTTATGACAAAAAACCTGATCACCTCCAGAGCATTGCAAAGTGTGTTACTGAGTAGCTATATTGTAGTTCAACTGTCTGCCATGAATGAAGCTTAGCAGCAGCATGTGATGTCGTGTAAATGCTGTGAAAACTTCCTAAAGGTAATGGGTACGTTTATAACCATGTCTGTGGTGTCATGGAAGTTGAGACATATTAGAACTGCAGCAATATCTGCAAATTGTTGAGGTTTTAAGCAGCGGAATGCTTGGAGACCAGGACAAAAGGGGGCTCCTTGCTCAATAAATTGTGCAAAGAGAATAGGTGACTATGATGGTTAGGATGTCCACTGAAACCACCTCTAGTTGAACACATGATTTCTCTAAGATTATTCACCTATCAATAGCCCATATCTGTTGTATAACGTTTTTCTCCCCCAACGCATTCTCCAGAGCAAATTATTATTTTTTTTATTCTGTCCACGTTAGTGACACTCACCCACAAGTCTATTTTGAGCTAAGTGGCTATTTGCACTATGCCAAGAATTGCTTTGCTTGGCTGGGCTTTGACTTTTTTGACATGAAACCACAGGTGTAAAACTCTGCTCCTTGTAAATCATTTCATTTGCTAGTCTGAGATTTTTCTAAACATAAGGACAGTATATGATCATTTTTATTAATTATTTATTGTTGATACACATTAGCAATTGTTAATTTTCACTACATACTTAGATAGACATTGCTAGCATTTATTTTGTTTTTTCTCTTCTCCAAATTGACAGAAATCCAAAATCAACCTGCCTTATTCAATAAAGCCATATAAAAAAAAAGCTTTATTTAAGGTCAGATGAAAGAAGTATGACATACAATACAATAATACTCAACATGAATAGATCCAATATTTTAAATGTACTTTTCTGGTAGTTTTGTTACATATGACAGGGCTATTACTGGTTCACAGGTAATGAAATTATAATCTGTAAATCGTAAACAAATTGTTAGGACGGCTGCCCTTGGTAAACATTTCTGAAAATGACCGCACACTTACAGGACATGACCTACACAACATGACTGTGTTATCTATAAACTAGAATTTGCATATGTGTTAGATGATTATCTTTTTGCTCAGATTTGAAAAAGGTTCAGGTGATAGGCACATGCTTGAATAATTTGGGTGAGTTTGCTACCATGACTGTAACTGTTCTTTCTGGAGTATGATGTCATGATGACACAATGCCCTTACTCTCTGTTACAATGGAACAGACATAGAGATCTGTGCCACTGGGGGAATTAATCGCACCAGTACCTCCATCTAGAGCCCCCTGAAATGGGGATTTGGATGTGAATAGCTTTTGGGGATTTCAGATTTATCCTTATTTAGCTGTTGTTATGCCACTGTCAGATGTTATGTGAAGCAGTTATAATGACTAAAGTGGTGCAAAAGTAACTGAAGAAGAATTCTGATTTCCCAAGGTTTTTTTTTTTATTTGGAAGTTTGCTACGCAAAAGGAAGACTTTGATTTTTAATGCTAGCTGTCAGCAGGTTCACCAAACACAGATAAGAATGTCAACACCAAAAGGCCATTTAAGTTTTAGGTTTGTAAACTAACTGTATACATAAACCTAGCTTTTAATGGCAGAACTCGTTGACAACCAAGTCTTCAAAAACAAAAAAAAGAAAATTGTGCAGATATGGCATTCGTCATTTTCTCAAAAAAAATATAAAAATACACATATATTGCCGTTGTGCACACGTTACAGAATACAACCTGCTACTAACAGGCAGCAGTTAAAATAATAACCATTTCTAGCCTAGTGTTTTGTTTTTATGGTTTTCAATCATGCTACAAAGTGCAAGGCTTTTCTATTGACATTTCTTGTAGTTTTAAGGTTTTTGCTGCCCAAGAGACATTCTCAATTTCTCACTGCAACAAAGTGGCAACAACAAATCAAAATGGAACTAAACCGCTCTCACCTCGCCTTCTACATGGGGTTGATTTCTTTCTTCTCAGTTATCCCAAAAGTCGCCCTATGATCTAGCAAGGGTGAGCGAGGATTAGCCGCTTTTAACCCAATACTGAAAGTTGCTGAAATTGTATGTCATCCAGTGACAGCTTGCGTGTCTGATTTTGATATATAGCCTTTTTGCTATTTTTGTTTGGGTAACTGTTGTCCGAGTAGAACAGGCTCATGGCATAATTTAGTGAAGTACCAGAGAGATGTTTAGTATGCCTTAAAGCCTTTCATCCCACTCTAAAGCAAAATATGTGTGTTCCCTTGATATGCGATCTGTACTTCTGTTGGACCGAAGAGCTCACAAATCCTGCCCAATGTGATTACTGGCCGATATATGAGAACATGGCCAAGGCTTTATTAAAGTTTTATCTTACCGTCCACTCATAAATGGAGAGAAACTGCTATTTTTGAAGCCCTGGAATGTTTTCTAGAAGTGGACAGTGTGTTCTTTTGTCTCACAACGATGATGCTATCTTTAAAAACTTATTCTCATGAGGGTTCCTTTAAATTAATGTTTTGTTGTTTTTAGAATCTCTTACCTCTTAATTTTGATCATTAAAAATCGAGAGATCCAATTCAATATATTAATTAGATATATTGCATATTTTAATTAGATGTTGTTTTTCCTTAAATATGCCATGATAATTAGATATTTTTCACCTATTTATTTCCTATTAATATGCATGATAGGATAGTTATATTTTACCCATCCCATCTTAGTACATCAAGCAAAGGATAGATGTCTATCTTGACCTGTTTGCTAAATTCTCCCAGGGACCCACACACATTTCTTTCTGTGTCCTCTAGCTGGGGTCCATCCTCATTTTCAGTCATTATATACCTTAATGAAAACATTAGCTCATTGTGTAAACTTATTTAACATTTGTAAAAGAAATAATAATTGTATTTAATCTTATTTCCCCAAATGTTCTACAAGTACAGTATCCTTTGCAGCGTGCCTCTTTTATGTAAAGTCATTTCAATCAATTATTGTGAATATGCTTTTCAAGAAAATACTTTGCAGCAGTGTTGGCGAACCTTGGCACTGTAGATATTTCTGGACTACATTTCCCATAATGCTTAATGGTAATGTAGTTTGCAAACACTTCTACAGGGTAATGGTTAGCCATCCCAGCTTTACATTCATGGGAGGGTTAAATGCTTCCTGTATATGTTTATTTTAGCTGATCTCCTTCAACCCATTTAGCGCCCAGTCGCACATCCATAACAGATAATGGTGTATCAAATTAGTCCGCTATGCTACTGCATCAGGCTGCTGGATCAATAGATTGACCCTGTCTGTCAGACTGCTCGCTACAGTAATTGTTACAAGAGAAAAAAAAAATGGAAAGCGAATACGTGTCCAAATAATGCAAAATTAATAAATAAAATATGACGTTTAGTACTTTGCCTCTTTTACTTATGCATGTTTATGTGTTTACACTGCAAGGAACACTATGCTTAAGTTAATCAGCTGAGTGTACATTATTTATGGCGGTTGTTGGGTGCGTTATGGAGGCAGTCAGTTTCACAGATGACATTGATCTTACTCAGGTGCTCCAGACCTTAACATGCTCTGTATTCCTCCCTTTATCCCTGAGATGCTCCAGGGTACCATCAAATCACATTTGCTTGATTGGCAGTATAGAACTTGCCCTGTCAATACAATTGATTTTTTTTTTTTTTTTCCCACAGCGAGGGATGTGCAGAGAAGCATTAATCACTTGTGCGAACCTTTGTAAAAATTCTGTCTAGGCAAAAATGTTCAGGATTTCGCCTTGCTAATTATATTGTACACCTGGCTGGAATCCATACATACATCTTTTCTAGTCAGTGGTAAGGCCAGAATTTGGGCAATTAATTGCATTTGTGAAGCTTAATTAAGTCCTTCTGAAATGTGCACAAAATCATAAGTCAGAAGGCCTCAGAAAGGAGACATATGGGACAAAGCGACCATAGGGCTAGTGACACCTCATTTTGGCCGAGAAAAAAAACAAACATTTATTGAAGTGTTTAAATAGCACTCCTGACACCTAAGCAAGAATGCTTATGATGCAGACTGTGTCATGCATTAATTAAAAAAAAAAAAAGTTTAAATCATCAAAGAGGCACAGGTAGGGTATAATCATTCATTGTATTGTGAGAGAAATCATTGAGTGGCCTCATGTGCATGCGCAATTTTACCATTAACCGTATTTCACTTTTACTGAGATGACAGTCACAGAAGAATTTAACATGTGTGCGGTATTGCACCTTACTTGGAAACAAGGCTTACTACCACTAAAGAAAAAAAGAATGTTTAAAATTTAATGAAACCTTTACCTCAATCTATAGAATCTCCAGTATTCTATGCCCAATTCTTTCAGTACCTAGCCTTTCCCCGATTTTATTTGCAATGTGTACAATAAAGATGCATTTGTACCTGTTACAGAACTGCATACAACCATTGTTAAAACCCATGTTTTAGTTATACTAACTAGTGCAGAGGCATAAATTAAACTCAAACTGCACATTAGTGTATTTGTAACCTTTCGTCCTGTAGCTGGAAATATTGTTCTGGAACCATCTGGCCAACATTGAACTATTCCGCATGTGTGACGTGAGTAAGGATACATACAAGTGCTCTGGGCAGAACCAGAGCGTGTCCGCGCCAAACATTTTATAGCCTAGAATCTGAGACCTTAACAATACATTGAATTTAATTACACTACAGTAAGAGGATCTGGTAGGGGAAGCAGAGGATGTAAAGCCTCGAACTCCTATTGTTCTTTGGACAAACACCAAGCTGAACAGAACAGTTCACGTACTTTGATATATCATGGTCACAATCAGGGAAATCGACCTTTATTAAAGGGACCGTAAAGCCCTTGAACAAATAAACTGTAGTAATGGTACTGCTGTTCTTATGAACAAAAAATTAACCAACTGGCCCTTCGGATGACCGTGATGTAGCTCCCCTCTTATTAGCGATTGTGGAATACTCACAGAATAAAACTATCCATTCAACAAATCTTCAGAGTGCCCATGAGAGACAAACTTATGCAGATTGTATTTCATACCCTGTGCCTGTATAATGTCTGCACTCATTCAGAAAGTCATCAGTTGACCCGTGATATAATTAATAAGAGAATCTGTCATGGACGAAACTCTGTAAACCATTTTATAACACTGAAAAGAAATGAGCCCCTCGCCAAATGTCCAAAACAAAAAAGAAGCTTAAAGGAACATGGCCTGCTTCGGTGTGATCCTATCCAATCTTCCTCACAGATCAAGCACATGCGCGGCATTGAGTCAGTGCTCTCCTATGATGGCTTCCACGTCACTTGACTATGTTTTACTTTTCAGTGTAAGGGCCTCTGGTGGCTGTCAGTGTAGCAGCCACAAAAGGTCTGTTTAACCCTTCAAGGTAAACATTGCTGTCTCTGCAAAATGTCAATGTTTTACCTTGGGGGGTTAAATTGACTGCACCACAGATCGTAGACCACTTCATTAAGATGGTCTGTAATAAAGAGAAGGCAGTATGATTTTTTTATTTTTTTTTCTGTGTGTGTATATATATTAAATCTGTATTTAGTCACTGATTTATTTAGACACATCCTTGTCTCTTTAATTTACTTTTCCCAGTACAGTCCTCAGTTTACTTTTCCTTGTCCAGTAGTCACAGTCCTCATTTAAGCACCAATTTAGCTTTGGATTCCAAATCAAATAATTCAAATAGAATTTCAACTTAACTGGCACTGACTTTGGGTCTGGAAAACTGGTTTTAGAAGTGGAATGCTTGTTGAAATCATATCTATGAATTAAAAAATGGAGTACAGCTTAACCTGCTAAAATAACCTATATCTTTAAGTCAGCTCATTAATCTTTTTTTATTGAGCCAAACCTCGTAAAGAAGCTGGGGGAATGTTGTGGCATACTCTTTGACTCTATCCTTACCCAGCTGTCCCTTCTCACTGAAGTAGTTTGAGAGTACCTTTCAATTCAAGCGCTTGGAAAACCGAACTACAAGCGTTAAACTGTCTGAGAAATCTCTGCAGGTCTTAACTGCAACATTCTTTCACCGGGTCTTGGATCAGAGAGATCGTATGGAAATTGACTGAGGCCATATACTCTGCAGCCTTCTACATGCATTTAAACTTGGAACTTGATCTTTTAGGCCAACATAAAAATGTCTTACATCACTAATTAAAGACTGCCCAGAAGCAGATATGTGAGAGTGCGATTAAACTGATTGTAAAGAAACGTATATTTAGAAGTGCATGCCTCTATCTTTTTCTTCCCCCAATCCCAAACGTTTGGGCCATTTTTGTTTACATAATGAAATGGTTAGTTTAGAATAGAATTGTGTCCTCTCCTTTCTTGCAATGTTTTAAACTGGAAATAATATGTATATTAAACATATTTTATATAAAAGGAGCTTAAAATACGATTAATATTTTTATCTAGTTATAATGATTATTTGGTTTAAAGAATCACTATAGGGTCAGGAACACAAACATGTATTCCTGACCCTATAGTGCTAAAGCCACCATTCCTTAAAAAGCATTAAAACTCACCTGATTCCCCGCCGGTGCTGGCTTTGCCCCCTTGATGACATCATCAGAATTGCAGATTTTTTGCCATGAGGAAAGCATTGGATTGGCTAAAATCGGCAAGGGGCGGGGTGTAGAATATTGCATATTCTATGTTTATATTGATTATATATGGATGTGTAGATTGAAATAAGTAACAGATGGTATAAGTCACAAGGCTTTCTTTGTCTGAGAGCTCTGGAATGTAAGTTGGGTTTTTGTCCTTATATGGCTAGAGTTATAGTCTGGTGTCATTATGGCACTTCTATATAGTAACTGAACACGAGGTCTCTCGCTCTCTTGGCTCTCTGGCTCTCTCTCGATGTAAGGATGTAACTCTCCCTTCAGGAGTCCAGGAATTACCATCTGCTGTTGAATGTCCATTATCATGTAACATCCTTTGTTGTTTTATTATGTATCCGTAACTAAGAATAAACCCGAAGAAACCGTAAGTCAGATTGCGTATTAGTACTTTTCATTAATATAGACATATATTAATGTGGCAAGTAAATTTGACCCAAGACTATATATACAAAAGACTTATATATCAATCAACATTGAAGATTCCAACCAGATTTTACACGGGGCCAAATGCCATTTTGGTTAATCAGCACCTCCTCATAAAGATGCATTAAATCAATGCATCTGTATGAGGAATATTCAGCGTCCCCATTCAGAGCGTGGAGATGCTGAACGGCAGTGCTGCCTACTATGCAGCACTGAGCCAGGAAGCACCTGGATACGCCACTTGGAGGTGTCCCTAGGGGCAATATAAACGCTGCATTTTCTCTGAAAAGGCAGTGTTTGCATGAAATTGCCTGCATACAATGAGTATACTCACCAGAACAACTACATTAAGCTGTAGTTGTTCTGGTGACTATAGTGTCCCTTTAAGAGATGCGCTACTATTTGTATCTATCTCTACATTACTTTGTATCTCTTTTCTACTGTGATTCCAGATGCTTCCTCTGCTTTGTCAATCATTGTGAATGCTATTGAAGCTTAATAAAACCAAAATTGATGTTGCTGAGCCACAGTACAGGTTAAACTCCAAGTGGATTGGTATCTATCCAGCCTGGTTGGAAATGTTTCTGATGCTGTCAAGCTCTGCATCGATAGCATTCGGGGGAAACAATACAGAGCAAACTACAGCATTCACAGCAGGCCTGCACTGGTTATCAGTCGTACTGAGCAGACGCCTGGTGGGCTTGCTGGTAGAGCGCTATAGCTGTGCAGCTCCCCTCCCTGCACTTGTGCTCTCACTATGCTTGGATGTGCTGCTGAGCTTAGGCTGACTTTGTGGATTGTGGACTCACCGGTTCTTTAGCTGTCTTTATAAAGCAAAGAGAATGCCTGGAGTAGATATGGAAGGTCTGTGCCTGCAGCTGCTTCACACATGTGCTTGGACTTTCTGCTTGCTTTGCCAGACACAGAGAGCCTGTGCCGCAACATTCCACACAGTCAGCCCAGGCTCAGCACCACTACCTAACAGTGAGAGTGTGGCATGCGTAGAGCATGGGGGAACTGGTAGCAGGTGTCTTGAGACTGAACTGTTGATGGGAGAGGGTTGTATTACCTCTGCTACATGTGTACACAGTGTGTTGGTGTATGCAGCTGCCACTCGTTGTTTGTGTGTGTGTGTGTGTGTGTTTGTATGAGTGTGTGTGTCTCTGTATAAGTGTGTCTGAATAGTTGTGCTTGTCTGTATGAATGGGAAACATAATGAATGACTGTGTGACAGTTATACAAATGTGTCTGAATAATTATGATATTCTACAGTAGAAAGTTGATACGCGCTAAACTCCCAGAAAACACTGTGCATATATTAAGCTTAACAGTTCTGTAAAATGTGATTCCATTGAGTCACTTCCTGATTTGGCAAATGCAGGAACTTCAAGGTGAAGATTTACTTTTTGTTGTTTTTTTTGTTGTTGTTGTTTTTTTTGTATTTTTCAATTTTGAGTCTAAGCATTTTTTGCACTAAAAAGAATGGGTCAGCTCCAGCCTGGTTTGTCGTTTTAAAGACAATATGTAAATATACAATTTTAATATTTTTTTGCCAACTTGAACAAAACCCTAATTTGTCCGTGTCTAAAGCAGTCACGCTGTACTGAGAATAGTTTTTTTTTTTTTGTTTAGCTAAAATATGATTTCTTATCTCCTAGTGCCTTAATCGTAACACTAAACCTCTGCTCAGACCAAATCCTTTCCCCCCCCTTCCTTTTAGTTTCTTTTTTTTGCACAGAGCTCTGTTTAACGGGCTGCAATCTAGTTTTTATGAAAAAGCAGGAAACTAGCTGTCCTCAGTAAAAAGATTTACAAAATGGAATCATTGTTGAAATATTCCCTTTGAACTGCCTTGTCCACAGGGGTCTTTGCCTTCCAATACCCTGTTTTCTTTAGAACACCCTTGCAAGTTTCTCTGGAAGATCAGGTACTGTGGTAGTGTGTTCTTTGAAGTCTTCAATGAATGAAAGAAAATGTAGAATGAATAGGGAACTGGTGATCAAGCAGAAAATACCCTTTAAGCCGACAGAATAGCTGGGTTAACATATCCTAAGCCGCTTTTAGGAAGGGTTTGTTTTTTTTCCTTCATCCCCCACACACACATACACACACACATTTCCTTGTTCTTTGTGTACAGTTTGGTTTTATAGCAAGGAAAGTCACCTATCTACATACTTTTCAATTTGCTTAAAAATGTCAAATTTTTGTTTGTGTTTCACCTCCTTTTTGTAACTTGGTACTGTACCAAAGTTCATAAAGCTTCGACCCAAACACAGTAGGGTTCCATCAGAAAAAGAGATTTAACACTTGGAATGCCGAACGTGGTATCCCTTTTGTAATCACACTATTGCATTTACTATAAGTATTTAGCAATTTTAGGCTTTAGACCGTAAAAGAACCAAGTCATAATCTGCCTTTAAAGCTAATGTTACCATGCATAATTAATATATAAATGTTGAGAGTACGAGACCAACAGTCTCTAGAGCATTACATTACATTTCAAACATTGGTCGCTGATCAGACATCTTCCCCTGGTAGTCGGGCTGGTAGTGAATGAAGCCTTTAAATATTTCCCAATTACCCAAACCTTTCATCTACTTGGTCTTGGGAGTCTGAAGACATAAAGTGTCTGATTTTGTGCAGTTCTTTGTGTAGCATATACATCTGGGTGCAGCTGGGTCAGTGACTGCTGGTAGATGCAGCAAATAATGTGGGAATCATTTTAGACAGCATCCCAGAGAGTGGCAGTGTGGATCAGCAGGTGAAATGTTATACTCGCTTAAGTACATCTTTAAAGGAACCTATAGTCAGATAGAAGATGTGGTCTTATTATATTATTTTGTATTTAGTTTTTTTTTAATGCAAAGCTTTTTTATGTAGGTCTAAATTCTCTTTTAAAACAAATTATATGTGGAAGTTAATAGTTTTGGAAACCCTACATTTAATATTGCATCAATATTTTTCTAAGGGGTGTCTGTCTCCCTAATAGGAAAAGCCACTTCAAAGTACAGTCTGCAGGACAACTGACACCTAGAAACTATTTTATAAATATATTAATAATGTCATCATTTCAGGATCTGTCATACACTAAAAGTGTGGATGAGTTTCTCTCTTCTTTTGTTTTTTACATACTGTATAGTAAATTTTTTAAATATATATATATATATATACACAAAATGTAGAGATGACCAGCACTCATGGTTTTCTAGAGGTTAAAAGTTGTAGGCTTTAATGAAAATACATGTTAAAAAGAAGATTGACATTTCAGTGCACGTCTGGGACTTTCATCAGGATCTGGTACCTGATCCTGATGAAAGTCCCAGACGTGGACTGAAACGTTGATCTTCTTTTTAACATGTATTTTCATTAAAGCCTATAACTTTTAATCTCTAGAAAACCGTGAGTGCTGGTCATCTCTACATTTTGTATACATAATCCCCCCCAGACTGCAAGCACCCGGAAACTACAATATAGAGCCCATGTGTGCAAGGATTCAGTGGATTTTTTTTTTATGTATATATATATATATATATCCTTTCAAAACTTGATGAAAGGATTATTATAGTAAAGCAAGTTTTGAGGTGAATGTTGTCCTTTAAGGACAAAATACTGCAGAATTTTAGCAGGGCTAACATATGACAACTGTTAAACCTCTGGATATCTAGAAATGTTATTGTCTAATTCACGAAGAGGAAGTGATCTGTCAATAATTCCTCTATACTACTTATTAAGCAATGTGTAAATGGACAGCACAAACCTGGAGTATGCGAACATCACACAGGAAAGAGTTTACAGCACGGCATACGTCCAGTTACTAACAATTTATTCCATAAGCGTTTATTATTATTAATTATTAGACTTATTGAGTGTTGTGACTTTGTTTCCCATACCATTATGCTCCAACACAAAGTTTAACATTCAGCAACAGGTCTAAAGAAAGATAAATAATGTTTCCAACCCACAAATGTAAACGGTCCATATGTGGAGAAATTGGTAAAAGATGGCTGATTACAATGTTAACTTTTTTCACTGGTCGCGGGTCTCTGTTTTTGCTCCTTACACCGGGTTATAAATCTTTGTCATTTGATTCAAGCAGTTTCTATATGACCACTCCGTCATACATTCTGCAATTTTGCCATTCACAACATATAGTGTTTATTTAGATTATATCAAAGAGTGATGACATTTCGGCATAGTCATATGTTGCAGTTTGCTTCTGTACTGTCACTTTGACAGTTAATATAAGTTTGCAGTATTTCTGACCGTTGACCCTGCAGCATGGGTACTAATTATTTGACCCTCTATGGAAACTATTAATTAGATCAGTTTACTTTAAAAACTCACATTTCAAAGCATTTATTATGAAACCTTGTTTATGGCTGGCAAATACTGCTAACTGGCAATCTAATATGAGTCACGATTACATGTGCAGTCGTAACTGAGATTTAGCTACTTCAAAGTGAAAATCCTTTTGCATTTGGTGTTTCTGATATTTTGTCTACTCCAAATAGCTGGGCAATCGAAACCATTTATTTGTATCATTGACCTACCTGGATGATGTAAGCCATTTTTTGGGCAGTCAGTTAGTAATGCCTAGAATTGTCACTATGTTAATATTATAAAATGAGTTATATACCCCAGTATTCTGTTAGAGTATATAGCTGAACACAAAAGGGTCTACTAAACCGCCAATTGTAGTAAATTGAAAACTTAATGGCAACTTTGAGCCTTTAAAAAGGGGTCTGTTGCTGATTTAGAAAATGTTTCCAAAGCAGCTATTGTCTGCTAAATGTTGGAATTCACTTTTCAGTCCACCACGGTTAGGTGTTTTGTGAATGAATTGTCGTTAAATAAAACAATAATAGTATCAAGATGGAGAACAACCTTACACGAGGTAGAAGTACCATGAAGTAAATTCTTAGCCCGGTGACTTTATAATAACTTTATAATAAAAGTGATGATATGAATATATGAAATGCTAGGGGAGACCCTTTTGATACACAAGTAATTCATTCAGTTTTCTCCAAGGGACGTAAGCCACATTTGCGAATGTTTAGTTCCAGTAGGAAGTCAATTTCTTGTTTTCTAATCACAGGAGTGTAAGATGACACAAGCTGCCACATTATTGCCAAGTTCCTGTGCCCTGAGACAGTCTAAATGAATGATAGACTTCGGTATCTGTTCCAGCAAATCTCATTGTTCTACTTTCAGAATCCTCAGTGTGTATGAAATACTGAATCGGAGATCTCAAAGTGATTTAATGTTCCGTTTTCCTCTCTAACTAAATGCACTCTGCTTGTAGTGGCCGAATGGTAAGGAAAATTGTCATGGGGGAAAAAAACACTATAATATTACGGTAAATACTAGTGGCTGTGCTATGGTATTATATAAGGCAGTGCTGATTATTTAGTGTTCACATTCTTTTCCTCTCTGTCTCTCTTCTCCTTTTCATTTTTTTCATTCAAGACTCCTTTTCATTTTTGATATATCTCTATGATGGCAGGTTCAAAAGACTCAGACTAAAAATACCCTAGAGTTTTTTATTTTCACCAAACCTGGTGCTACGGAGAATAGAAAATTTAATTGCACACATTAATTCAAAATGTCCATAGTGAGGGGGGAATCTCCTGCACATAAATTTTCCAGTTTGGCTAGATTGCCAATCTTCTGCAATTAAAGTTTAGCCTTGTATCTAGTTTACTTGTTTTTTGATATGCTCTAATGTGTTTTGCTTTGTGCTGCAGTGTTTCGATGTAATGTAGGGAGTTAGCTCTTGTTAAAGGTATTTCACCACCATCACCACCACAAAAACCTTTAAACACTTACTTTTGACATCAGCAATTGGGGTAACCTAATGTACATTACGCATTAGGCCTTCCCCATATAAAATCATTGAATGAATGCTTTTCTATGGGGAATTTGAAATGCTAGATGTCCTCTCGCTTTTGCACGAGCACCAGCGCCATTTCACAGAGTTGAACTGCAAGAAAGGCCTATAACAGCCACTAGAGGCATTCTTAACCTTGCAATGTAAATGCAATGCTTTATGTTGCAGGGCTAAGGGGATGGGAGCGTGCACCCAGAGCACTTCAATGAAATAAAGTGGACTGGGTGCCTGTAGTGTCCCTTTAACTTACTTGCACCAGGTTAAGAGCCTGCTTTTTTAGAGTTAGCAGTCGTCAAACAATAGTGACATGGTTGGAACACTCTACGAAACTAATCTCTAAGTATTGTTTGCAACTACTATAGACAATAATGAGAGCCATTAGCTGCAACTGACATTACGTGCTGGCAGCTGAGTTTTAGTGATGGCAGCCTGTCACCACTAGTCAAATACTGCAGTTCATATACAGCCACTACGCAATAACAATAGCCACAAGCCCTAGTAAATAGTAGCTGCTCCGTAGAAAGTAGCAGCAATTTTAGAAACAATCTCCAAGATTCTCTTTCTTTAATAACATTTTTAAAGGTTTACTCCGAACTCCATAATCACTCTAGTTATTTGAAGTCGTCATGGTGGCTAGAGACCGTATGTGCATGTTTTGCTATGAAAGTATTGCTGGCAAAATGCAGGTTAAAAGTATTCATTTAGGCTTCTTTAAGGGAAAAGAGGGGAAAAAAACTGTATTGTTGGATGGAACGCTAAGGAATATTAACTGCAGCCTTGCAGGAGTAATGTTTCCCCACAGATCGTAAACTGGTTTAAGTGCAGTAACATCAACTTTAAGAGTGTTAGTCAGAATTTGTATGTCCTCAAATAACTCCCTGAGTTTGTGAAGAGCGCCAACTGTCGCACCCCATCCTAAATTCCACATTAACAATCTCCTTCCACAGTGTTAAACTTCACTCTCCGTGACTTTTTGTTTAACTTTGTAGATCTCATCCAAGTTAAATTGAAACGTGCAGGTGAAGTTATCCTGCTTTTTATTCTTATTTTCTCTTTTTGGTCTTTGACTTTACAGCATTTCAGTCAGCCCGGCAGAGAACAGATGGTGTTACAGACAGTATAGCTACAGTGTATCAGCCTGTGTCAGTGGGTCTCAGGCAGTGTCACTGTTTAGCAGACAGCGTTACTCTGTTGCAGACAGTCCTTCGAACGGTGTTAGTTGGGTATTGGACGTGTTGGCGTCCTACCAGCAGTGTTACTATGTTTTGGAAACATTGAAAATACAGCATGTACGATGTAATGAAATAATGAATACACAGAACACTGCTAACAGGAACATAAAGTTAAAACAATAGTTCATTTTTATTTTAGTTTTCAAAATTAAAATACATGTATGTTAATCTGACAAGTGTGCCACATTCCCGATCTGAGATATAAAGTTTTTACTTAAACGTGCTGTAGGAAAAAATGAAAACAGATTACAATAATTATTTTTGTGTCAGAATAAAACATATCTCTCTGTCTGACAAGAGACCAGCTGCAAGCCCCTTTAGTAGTATGGGGGTCTTGTGGATGCAATAACTTCTCATTTAAGTTGTGTTTTGTTCGAATGGTGCTAGCTCAGAATGTTTGCAACTACTGTTTCTGTTACACGAGGGGCCAAAATTATTTTCGCGCCTCACCTGCTACAGTTTGTTAGTGGGACAAGCACACACTCATGCACTCATATGCTGGGGTTTTAAATCAGTTGAGGAACAAACACAATGATTACTGTCTATCAGCTTACTAAAAAGTAATAGATATATCTTAGGGTGTGTAACACCTGAAATTTAAGCGATCGATAAAGACTGACAAGAATTCACTAAAGTGTAAATGTCAGAAATTCAGGAAAGTGAATTTAAACTTAAAGGTAGAAATAACCTTTACAATATAGCAGACTGTGAGAATCTTTCCATTTGTGGTATTTTGACCTAAAATTCACTTTGTATTTCCAACAGTTCATATTTTAGTGAATAAGGATATCTGAATACAGTTCACACTGTACTGAATAACGTTCTGAGGATGAGAACACTGTTCTTGATTGTAAAATAAGACCATTTTCACACTTTGTCACGTATTCTCTGTGAGTGTCTTGCATCTGCTCCTTCTACATCGCAGCGGAATATGTTGGTGCATTCCATACAAATTATAATAACCAGCCCTTCTCTCTGAATTTAGAGTCAGAATGTGAGCAAACTGGCTTTACCTGCACGTGTAAACGGTCATCGGCAGATAGCTATATTGGTTTGGTGAACTTCCTGTTTAGGATTCAGCTGACTATATATTGTTTATGGTTCATAAAATCTTACTACTGTCCTCCGACACCAGCAGATCAGAGCTTCAACTTTCACGGCGCAGTAAATTAAGGGGTGGGGGCCAGAGTGTGGCGCTACTCCTTTGAGAACCGTAAAAGAGACTTCAGTTAGCAGTGGTTAAATGGGGTTTTATAAGCACATTCTGTGTGGAACTGTTTTGCATTACATGAGCTCAATACCTTAGAGATGACACACATCTGCACGCACTTTATTAAATCCTTAGTCAGCACTTTTCTACCTGATGAGATTACTTCTTCATTTGACTGGAGAAAGAGAAGAGGGGAAGTTACTGGACGGCACAATTCTTTTTGATGTTTCACCTTGAGCACTAAGTAAGGACAATGTAACACTCTTTAAGATGAAAGAGATGTGCACGGATACGTATGTATTTAACCGTGGTACAGCCAAAGATAAAAAAAGAAGATAAAGCACAGACTGTAAGCTCATCGATGCCCACCTCCCCCAAGCATTTGATAGATGATCTTGGCTATATTTAATTGGGGTGTGCATCAAAGAGCATTTACTTTGCCTCCCCCAATCCCCAAACCTAGATGTTTATAACATAAGCCTGTATATTTACACATTATCTGTTAGAGAGACGCACAAAGGCAGTGGGAAGTATTGCCTTAGATTAAATCCTTGTTGGTATGTATGGCCCGGGCTTCAACCTGCAACAGAACACTGCGGGAAGCGATGTATAACAATGTAGCTGTTTAGTGGATCTTACACATTCGAGCCTTTTAGACCCCATTCCTTACATACACTTTGGATGTAAGTATACAAAGTACCAAACTCTTCAAGCAGATTATTTCTCCATGGTCCCAGTTCAATCTCACATGTTCTACTGTACAGGACACTAATGTTTTTATAGGTCCTTCTTCCTCCAAAAAAACAAGCATGCATTGGTGTACTATTCATGTTTCACCACTAAAGGGACATTACTAGCAGTTTAACTTTAAATGGAATTTAGAGACCATTAATAAGAAAGCACTTAGAATAAATATTTATTATTAATAATCATAATGAATGTTACATTTTCTGTACATTCACATGCTTCTTCTGTGCTTAAGTTCAGAAAAGGCAGTGTTTACATTGCTCCCTAGAGACACCTACAGTGGCAGTCACTCAGACGGCCACTAGAGATGCTTCCTGGATCAGTGCTGCACAACATGTTCTAAGGCTGCCATCACAATTAATACTATCAATGAGTGATGTCATCAACAGCCACATCCTCAATTCAATACAAGCTGCCCACCGCTAATAAAGGGGACTTTCTCCAAGCTATCCTAGACAACGGGCTAAAACGAGCAGCCCATTGGCCTGTCCCATCATGCTGAATGTTCGTTTATTTTTCTCCTCTATGATAATTGGATATTGTTACACCCCCTGGCAGTTGGTCATGCCCCATCATTCACTATATTTAGTTCCTAACTTCAGATACACGGTGAGGATGAGTTTGTGGGAGGGTTATAGTTGTACCAGTAGTAGGAGAACATGGATGCATGCATTTAAATGGCATATGTAAAAAAATAATAATAATGTAAATACATTTTTAACAGAGTAACTGGTTGATAAATATAAACAGATTTCATGTTTTGGTGTTGACGTCCCTTTAAATATTACCCAGTTCATGCATATTGGATGAAGAATAATGTATAAAAGCGGAATATAACTTTATTCCACCTTTGAAGCCAGGAACAATCTGCATATGTTTTGTAAATCTTGCTCTAATATGTGCTTGAAATACCTTTTTAAACCATTCTTTCATCGTCTCTGGGCAACTCTTGCTAGCTCCGAAATTGTTAATGGTCATTTGCCAAGCTGTGAGTTCGTTTACTGAATGGATCATATTGATCCGAGTCCTTGTTTGAAACCTGTATTGTGTTAATTTGCATTTCCAGTTAGTGTCTTCTACGCAGAGCGTTTTTTTTTTTTGTTTCAAAGTTTTGATGCATTATTTAAACATAGTGGCCATTTTACTAAAATACTGTCGTCAAACTAACTGTGTTAGAAAATTCACCAGTTGTACTTTATTTCGAAACCTGGCTGTATTGGCCCAAATTTAGAATGTATTAATTAGTAAATAATCCCCAGCATGGTCCCTAATATTCTACCCTTTAATGCAGTGTGTTTTCCAAGGGCCGTTGCAGTAAACTCTTAAGCTGCCATCTTAATTTCACAGTATTATTATAGTGCACTTTAATAGTGTTATGTTATTACAGGGGACGGCAATACTTATATATATATACTAAAATATATATTGTCTACTAAATTTGATTAAACAGCAATGCATACTCTCTGACTGCACAAGTCAAACTCAAGAAGATTCGGTCTTATTACTATTGGCAACAAATTTATAAAACGTAATGGAAATAAGTGGTTATGCACTGTGTATAACATGTCTTAAAGAAATACTTTGGCCACCAATGAAGTGTAGGTTCCTGGGTCTTGGCTTACCTCAAGGTGGTTTAACCCCAAAGTCTTGCATCTGCTACCCGTTAGTTCATCCCAAAGACATCCACTACAGTCGGAGGCTTGAAACCGGAAGCCTTGGACAGAGCTCTTTCTTAACAAAATGGTTTGAAAAATGTATTTAATTACTTAATTTTATTTAAAAAAAAAAAAAAAGAGATTTTTATTGTGTATGTGTTTTAACCCATGTGATGAATTGGCCGTGTAGCAGGATTCTCTGACCTCGGCGATTAGGAGGTGGGGGGTTAAAGTTAATTCATGTTAGCTTTACCCTTCATTGACATGTTCCCTGGTGGGAGGTGAGAAGGGAGACAAACCAACAGAAGAACATTGTGTCTGCAATCTCTCCTAAACACTGTCTCAAGGAACAGTAACAAAGTTTTAAAATCCTTATCCCAGCCTTTTAGCTGCACTGCACAGCTAAAACAAGAAATTCTGAGTCAGCATCTTCGATTGATTAAAAACTAACCTTTAAAGTAACTCTCAGAGTGTGTGGTTAGCATTTAAATTTAAACATGTCATGAATCTGATTTGTGTTACAGAATATCAACTCCAAACCACTAAAATTCACATCACTTTTTTTTTTCTTTCTTAATAATTCCCTTAAGCAGCTAAAGTATTTTACAAAAAAATGTCAATAGGGCAAAAAAGAGAAAGACCCCGAACCTGACTTATACTTTGTTTCCCATGCAAATAATTTGCTTTTCCCAAAAAAGAAAAAAACTGTATTAAAGTGAAGTTCAATAATTGGACCTTTGTCTAACTTTCTGAAATGCCAGGGAAAGCTAGATTGATTAAATACACAAGGGTGTTTTTTTGGAGTGTGCGGTCCTACCTGCTGGCTAAGTCATAAATTAAACAGAATAAATATATATATACTTCAGTGTGTTTGCAGTGGGCTTGCTACGTCAGAGAGTAAAGAGGAAGACTGGTACAAGGAGAGGGTCGAGGATTCCTTGCTAATGAAAGTCACGTCTGGGTCTGTCTGGTTGCCTGTAGCAACCAGACATGATGTAACACCGCGATGAACTTGAACTTGGGGAGTTGCAAAAGGGAACAATAGACCAGAGTAATCAATAAAGCCTATTTTGGTGAAGGATTACAGAACTGCTCTGGGGTAACCTTGTCTGTAAGGCATTTTCTGAATAGTAAGCCATGTGAGCAAACTTTCTTTTCTTTTTTTTCTGGGAAAGTAGTCTGCAAGTGATGACAGGAAATTATTCCTTGCACAGTGTAGGGTCTGTAGACTTGTGTCAAGGCAGGACATAGCCCCCCTGAGTATGCAAACATTGCAGGGGGATTGTATTCTATCAGCTGGCTGTATTCGATCCCTAGGCAATGGAATACTTTTTGCTTAACTTTTCGTTGGCATGGGAGCCGGGGTTAATTTTTAGCTAACAGAGACGTTCGTTTCTATCAAAAAGAATAGTAGCATATGGATAAAATTCTAAAGCATACTAGATCGCTGCTTACTAAAGTGCATTTGTGGCATTGCCCCTTTCTTTCCTGCATATTGACATGCCAAAAATAATTCCAGTTGGCCTCAGCTGTACTTTGGCTTCGCAAATGCACATATGTTTGGGGCACACTAATCTGGACGACATCAGAACACACCCAATCTTTGTAGTATAGTGCTCAACAGTTGTATTGAACATGAACTGGCTGATTGCAGGTTGTTTACATGCTTCTTCGTAAAATATCTTTACAGGATAGTAGCTGTCACTGCCAGCCTATAGACCTGTACCATGGAACAGTAAGAGTGTGCAGCTCACTCCTTTCTCTGTCCCCTTTTCTAGGTGTTACTTATGTAATGTATCAAATACTAGCAGGTTTATTCACTAACGTGAGGATTAAAAGTTAATTTAAAATTTAAAAGAATACTGAAGCACTAAAGGAACAAATATGTATTCCTAACACTATGGTGCCCATTTTATAATTTTTAGGTGACAGAGCCAATGCTGCCTTTGTTAAAAAAAAGTAGTAAACTCACCTTTTTTTTCCCACGCCACTGAAGTCTCCTTGCTCAAGTTCCTGCCTCTTAGACTGAGATCATAGAGATTGATGATCTCAGCCAATCCAATGCTTTCCCATAGGAAAGCATTAGGAGGCTAGTGCACATGCGTGGCAAAATGCCATACTGCGCTACTCAGCTATATTTTTACTCTTGATATTTTATGGAAGGGCCTCTAGTGTAATAGATGTCAACCTGACAGCCGCTAGAGGCAGGTTAACCCTGCAATGTGAGCATTGCCTTGCCTACAGAATGGCAATGTGTTCAACTGCAGCGTTAAATGGGGGCACATTGCACCCAGACCATTTCATTAAGGTGAAGTGGCCTAGGTGCCTATAATGTTCTTTTAAGTGCAAAGTAGCCAAACTGGAAGCATAGTTTGGGTATTTTGGCCTTAATTTTGAAATTCACTTTGAATTCTCACTTGAGTGAATAACCTTACATATTGTCTTGCTAAAGACTGGCTTAAACATCACGCAGAATATTAATCTACATCCAGCAGATAAAATCTCTAGGTTTTTTTTTCTCACAGCTCACAAAGTGTTACTTGACTGTCGGTTGACGTCACCCATCACTCTTACTGTACAGCAAGGGAAATGTTATGTTTTTGTCTTTTATTAGGTCTGTCCCTTGCATGAAGTGAAACGGTCCCTTAAAGCATTTAATGAAATCCATGTGTTGTGCAGGCCAGATTGTTTGCAAATATATAGATGAAAAGCTATTTAGTATTTTGTCACAAACTACATGTTGCTTTCCATAATAAATGTAAGTTCTTTTCCATGATTTTTGGAGCATTTATCTTTGCCTCTAAACCTGAGATCCATTAAAAGGTACTTGTAATAGGACAGGGATAGGCAACCTTCGGCACTCCAGGTGTTTTGGAGTACATCTCTCATGATGCATTGTCAGTATCATGTGATGTAGATGGGGGGATGGGATGGGGGATGTAGTCCACAACATCTGGAGTGCCAAAGGTTGCCTACCCGTGTAATAGGATGTGCCCGGGTACAGATCTTACTAGAGATGTTTCTGCTGAATGCTTGTGGTGAGTTTGTATGTGAGCTCTGTGTGGACACCTTATGGGCAGACCTTGAAAATAAGACACCTCTTTCCTAACAATGTTAAGAGCTTGTTCTAATTGCATTCTAAAACTAGCATTTTGATACAATAGAATGTATAACAGAATGTAATAAAATCGAAAAAAGGTCACTAAATCATTTTTTTCCCTCCTTTCCAGTCCTGGTACCTGGGATAAAGCTCACAGTTTCCATCACTCACCTGACAGACCACCTGCCCCTTCCCGTCTCTGTATGAAGAAAGCAAGCCGCGGCAAGATGGCACAGTTACTTCACATCAATGGAAGGGGACACAAACTCATGTCAACAGCAAAACTACAGAAAAAAAATCTTATGTGGTCGCATGGCAAGGACCATAAATACGCAGCCTTATTTTTTCTTTTATTGTTGATTTGTTGTTTTGGTTTTTTTTTTAAACTTTTTTTTTGGTTTTCTCACCATGATCTGAGGAAAATTCTTGGAGAAGATTGGGCTTCACAACATTTGACGTGTTTCATTGGTAGTGTAAACATTAGGGGATTCTGGATAGCCTTAGTCTTAGTGAATTATTGACATTGTAGAAGACACTTTTCTATTGAAGCTCAATTTTTTTTTTCCTGAAGATGCAGCATCTCTCTAGCCATGGGTGTGATACTTCTTCAGAAGTCATGAAGGGGCTGTCCCCTAAAAAGATAATATATATATATATATATATATATATATATATATACACACACACACACTTTTACACATTTACATTTTCATCCATATTTTACACAACTCTTTTCGGAATACATTTACCTGTAAGCCTTTAACATCATCAGTAAATTTATGGTACATGAGGGATGTTCCTATATTTAAAATAACTATAGCTGCAACTTATATTGCCATGACACTTTTCAATTTGTGTCCCCCCCCCTTAAAAAAAATATTTTTTAATGCAAAAACAATAATGCATAAAACAGATATACTGTTATACAATATCCTCCATGTTGTATTGTTGACATTTTAAGTATAATGTTTTGGAAATGGCTTCACCAACTAGGGAAGAAACATAATTTGTATTTTATTTTATTTTAAATCCCTGTTTTTTATTTATTTATTTTTATTATTGTGATCTCCTCACCCCCTTCAGAAGTTATCTGTTTGAATGAATCCAGGACGATTTGTGTTGTGTGACATATCAAATGCAATATGGACGCCCTTCCTTTCTGACAAGGAGTAGTCACATCCATGATCTTTGAGGAAACTGTTGTAAATCCATTCGAGTTGCAGAGCATTGTCAAGAACTTCTATAACTACAGTATTCACAAAACAAACAAAATGCTGCACTTAAGAAACAAGCTTTTCTGAAACAAATTTTCAACAATTCAACAGACACACAGCAATGGGGAAGATGGTCTGTTTTGACAGAAACTGACAGGAATCAATTGAAACAATCGTATTTGGATTGAGTAAAGTGCAATTTCATTGGATAGGTAAATATCTTTGTAAGATAGAGATTGTTGAAAATTCTATTTTTGTTTTCAAAGTCCTACCACCCCAGGACTCTAAATTATAAGGGTAAAAAACAGCCTTGCAAAAGAAAGGGGAGCTATTTTTGCTTTTTATGTTTTTTTTATTGTTGAACTTGTATCCCTTAAGAACTAAAACAAAATGTAAAAAAATATATATATATAAATATAAAACATAATGGTGCTTTACCACAATATGTTAACTACATTAAATGCTAAGTAATCATTTTTTTTCTGTTATCAAAGCACATAACTAAAATGGAAAAATCATATTATCTTTTAATTTTATAAGCTAAAGTCACTATTAGTAAAGTATGCCAATTCAGACAAATGCTACGTTCCCAGAAAAGGGGATCTTTTTTTTCAGGCACCTCAGCATTTATACAGTTGTCCAGATGATATCTATGTGATTTGATTACTTGTGTCTCGGACTGGAAACACTGATCAATCTGGGGTCTCAAAGCACTTGCTGAGCAAAATACAATTGGGTCATAAACGTCATATATGGTGTATACTTAAAAAAAAAAAAACAATAATAATAATTAAAAAGACAAAAAAAAACTTAAAAAAGAAAAAAACACAAAATAAACATAAAAACAAGTGATTTTTTTTTTCTCTACCAGACAGCGGAGCGTTCCTTTGCTTCGCATGCAACTTCAAGAAAGGTTCCTATATTATACATATATTATATACTTTCCGTTTGGCAAACCCTGCCAATCAGGACAAAATGTTTCTGCATGTTCTAGTGGTAGTACCTGATTTTTATATACATAAAGTAGGATATAGTAGAGTGCATTAAGACAAAACATTTTAATTCCTATTCCAGGCCTTTGTCTTTTTATACCCCCCTTCCCCCCACCATGCAGCCAATGTAAGGACAGCTTGTCCTTTTGGCAGTGAAGGAGTTAAACTCTGTATGGTCCTAGTAAAGAACTTTGGCTACTGTCCTATACAATCAAGTAAATTAAACTGTTGAGAAGAAACTTTGCTCCTCATCTCTCCCCCTTTTAGCATTTGTAAAGGTTTTTTTTCTGTTAGATATTATAAAATTATTTTTTTTTTAATTTTCCTCTGAACACTTTTGGGGTGCCGTGGGGGGCTGTAATGTTATAGCAAAGCAATACAGTGCATTGCCCCTGCGTCTCATGGAGTTAATTTGCACGTAGATGAATATAATTCCATATTGATGTGCCTTGCCCTGGATAGCGATTATTTGTGGAATTGTTGCACATGTTCCTCCATAGATAGAGTCACTCATTATGGAGACACTTTTTTCTTTTAATTTTCTTGTAAATGTTACTCATATATGACATTGCAGGCTTCACCATGTAGGTAAATATTTTAGTTGTATCCCACCAATAGGAGTAGTGTGCTTAGTTTTGTAGTTTCTGTGCTATTTACGCGTAGGAGATCAGTATTTTGGGGACATTTTTTGCTGCATTGTGAAATTTTATTTTGAGTCTTCCTTTTATCATATTTTTTATTTGTTTTCCCTGATCAATGAACATATGCAATACCTGCTTATATTCATGTAGCTAAAGCTTAGCAAATTTACTAGATTTTTATTTTGAGTTTTATTATTGTTGATGTGTTGTTGTTTTTTTTTGTTGTTGGTTTTTTTTATTTGACCAAAGTTGGTGCTGCACTTGTTGCAGTGTGTTAGATATTCAGTCATTGAACGTTTGTGACTTTGAATGCACATGCAGGACGGGAGGGGGCGGGAGGGGGGCTTCTTAAAGAAACAGTCCGACTGTGAAACACTAAGCAGATCCCTGCTTTGAGCAATTTTTTTTTTTTTTGTGTTTATAACTGTTCCTATCACAAGCAAGCCTTAAAGCAAAAAAAAAAAAAAACTTCCTTTCCTTCAAATCCCACACCCCATTTTTATTAGCAGACCGCAATCAACCCACGTTCAACAAAAAGAGGTTATAAATGCCCATTTTTATATGCACGTTTTTAAACTTCCAAATTCTAAAAAAAAAAAATGTTTACTGGTTCTCTCTATTTAAGAATAAAAAAATAAAATGTTTTGGATTTTTCATATGTGTCTGATATGTGGTTGAGTAGTTGTGTTGTGTGATTGTTAGTGAATGTTGTCCACTCCCCATAGCTAGCATCCCTTACCTTCCTTTATAGAACTTAGTTGGGCATTACCTATTGACATATGTGCACTAAAAGCATCTTCCAGTGCTTCACAGTGAAGGGAAAATGGAAATCTAGGCAAACATTTTGTCATAGCCTTGCGGTATCTCGAGGCATTACCAGTAAATTGGTTGTATATACAATACAAATGCACCCTTTTATAAATCAAGCAAAAGAAGCAATAGTTTGGGCAGTTATTGTTTTTTGTTTTGTTTTTTTTCCTTTTTTTTTTATTGTTGGTAATATCTTGTTTTGTTGGGATTTTTTTTTTTTTGTATTGTTTTGTTTTTGTGAGTGTGTCGTAGACCTGGCTGCAACGAGAAAGAACAAACTGCCCACTCAGATATGTAATTTGTATGTTGTATAGTTTTATTGATTACACTGATTTATTCTACCCTATTTTGTATTGCAGGACTTTTGTAATGTTGTTTAAATGAGGAAAAAAAATTCTGTCGATTTAGCTTAGCAGACTTTCTGGTTGTTTCTTATAATAACAGCATTGTTAGAATTGCGTTTTTAGGGGAGGTTTATTTGTTTAATTTTTTTTTTGTTCAGAGTTGAATTTATATATATATATATATCTATATATATATATATATATATATATAGATATATATATATATATCTTTTTTTTTCATTCTCTATTTTGGGAACTGGATTAAAGTTAAAACTCTCCGGTTTCCCAAACAGTTGTTTTTCTTCTTTCAATGGTTTAGCATATTCCTATGCTTAAGAAGTATAGGATCACTGAACAACCATTTTAAATGGAAATTACAGGTATGCTGAATTTTTATTAAGATATTTTCTCACTGAGGTTTATGAAATGATAATTAGGGATTTCTGAACAGATTTGCAGATCATAAAAATGCGTTATATAAAGTCTTTATTTTATCATATAGGCAATCGAAAATATTGAGTTACAAGGCTTCACACCTGCTTGTTGAACGTTTCTCAAATGCCTAGAATGCACAGGTCACTAAGATTTAGTTATGAAGATTAATTAAGCATGTCAATGTTAAAGAGTGAGTAATGTACTTTTATTTATAAACTACATGTCCACAATTAATTAGTTCTACGGACAATTTCTTGTATTTCCTATTGCAGTAGTTTAGCTGATGTACCTGCTTACCTGCTTCTCCTGTTCTCTGTTATACAGAGAAATAAACGCTGGGTTGTTCCTCATGGGTGGAGCTAGTTGCCCACAGTGGTATTTTATAACTCTTTACTCAGAGATCAGATGAATTATGCACTATGCACCTGTATGCCAATTAATTTCTTCCATATGTGGTGCAACCATAGAGGCAGTTTAGTGATTGGGAGGACCCATCAGAAGAAGGACATAAGAGACCTATGCAAACATTTTTTTAAAATGTATCATAAAATGTCCACAATAGTAGAGAAGGGGGTTATTCTTGGGTGCTACTACAGCTATTAAAATATTAGAAAAGGTTGTTAGATTTAAAATAAGATGGGCATTTTTTTTTTTTTTTAATTAACAAAAAAAATACCTTCCTTTTAAATTACATGACAAATGCACAAATATGCAGGGTGTGCAGCTTAGGATCAATTTAGACATTTTCATTTAGGATAAAATTCCATACATTTTCCATGGATCGTTCGTTATCTTCTCCTGTGGAGTCCACATTGCCAAAAGTTGCAATGCAGGGGTTAGCACATTGGCTGAGAGTATCAGTTAACTTCCAGCTAAGGCCTACAGGCAAACTGTTTGTGATCAAAGGCTTAGTTAAAGATACTATTGTTTACTTGGTCCTGTTTACAGATCCAGCTAGTACCTGCTGGCAAACTGTTCTTGATCCCAGGCCCAGTTGAAGACAAATAGATTGTTCCAGCTCTAGATCCTGCTGTTTTTGTTCCTGGACCCATTTAAAGAGCTATAATTAACTTGGCCCCTTTTGTTATGGACCAGTTAAAGGCCTGCAGCACATCATTTCCTTATACCAGTCTTTGCTAGATTGCCACTGACAAACTATTCCTAAACTTGATCTCATGTAAAGACTACTGTCAAATTACCCCAAGTCTGGCCCATTCATAACCCATGGCTATTCCTACATGAGGCCAAAGTGCACTTTGTTTTAAATGTAGTAACAGTGATTAAAGTTGGATTTAGCCAGATACATATAGCTGCACACCCCAACAAGTTATTTTGGTTATTATATGTTGTTTTTAAAAAGACAATGGGCAACATTGATGAGAGAAGACACATATATTTGCATAAACATGTTTTAACCCAACACACAGTAAAGTACTCCTCTAGTCACAGTATTTTTATTCAGGCCACGTCAATATCGATCCCAAGCAGTTTATTTGTAGTTTTTATACAACAAACGTAAAAATTAACAAAAGCTTGGATTTAATCATGTGTGTCCTTGCTGTGTTTTTTTTTTAATTATTATTATACTTTTCTAATTTGCCCTGGAAAAAAAAAATATATATTTTATAGTTTTTAGAACAAAACAAATAAATCCCAATTTGCCTTACTGTGTAAGAAGAGCTTCAATGAAACCTATCCAAACATCTTGAGACTAATGGACGGTGATGGCTAATTTTGTTTTTTCTGATGTTTATGAAAAACATGATGGCTGAGCATCATTAGAAATTAAGCCGTCGTGAGTTATCATTGCGAGATTAAGTCTTTTGATGTTAGCATAGATTCCTCTATTGGGACTTCTTAGCAGGAAACTGTGTCCAACCTACTAATTTAGTCCAACTTCCATCGTCTTCAACAAGTTAATGGCGAAGGGTGATATTGTTTAAAGGCCGCTGGAAACTGGATAGCCGTAGATTGGCCGGCCCTCTTGATGTTGTTGAAGTCTGTTTTGAGTGCAAACCCTTAGTAACCTGGCATTTACGCTTCTTAGTAGTACCAAGGGTGTACAACAGTAAGATGCATATTTCACATTTCTATGATTTTTTTTTTGATTTTTTTTTCGCCTATTAATGAATTGGTGGGAGGAAAATTGCTTTTCTGCAGAGTAGGTAACATTGAGGCTAATCCGTAACCCTGAACTGTGTGTCATCTATTCTGAAACTGATTTAATGTTTGATGCTAAGCCAAGACATGGTGCTAAATTCAGCCTGGCAATTTGATGGACACATCTGTAATAAGTTGGGCTCAATTCATTCTGCTTTCCAACAATATAATCCATAGCAGTGGTTATCTGCATGTGAACTATGCACTAATCTATCCGAAGGAAAAATAAATAAACCTACGTACTATGGCTACTTTTTTTTTTTAATTCTCATTTCTTTCAATCCTTGCCTTTTTTCGGTCAGTGTTATAAATGCCAGCTTTAGGACAGAAAGAATTATATGAAAACCAGCATAATACCTGATATATAATAATTGAAAAAAAAAAACAGTAGTGCCTGTGAAATCTGTATTATATCGCTCTTCTGAAATAAGATTTTTTTTACACCAGTAGCCTTTGCTGTCTGTCAGATTCCTCTGATGTAACGGATGTAAAATAACCATACAGTAATATTGCATGCTGTTCCATATCGCTTAGCGAGTTGTATAAAATATTACTCAAATTACGTTAGAATTTTTTTTTCCTGACTTGGTTCTTGTTAGATAGGTTTAAAGGTATGTCGCCAAGAATGCAAATTTTTTATTTTTTACTTTTTTTCCATTTATTTGGTTTGTTTTTGGAAGGGGGTGTTTTCAGTATTTCAGAGGTATACACAGTATTACATACATTGTTGTTTTTTTGTTTTGTTTTTTTATTCTTTTTTTTGTTTTTAACTTTTCTTGGGTCCTCCTCCCCCGACGGTAAGCATTTCGAATTTACTATCTGTTTGTTTCAATTTTATGTTTTTAATAGGAGAACTTAAATCCTAACACTCGTGCATTCTTATGAGGGGTTCTGCAGTTGTTTTTAGTCTGGATAAATCACAAAAATGAAATAAACAGATAACCAATGTTTACCCCTCCCTTTACACCAGACCTCCTCATACTAAAAAGAAAATATACAAAAATGTGGCTGTTTTTAGTTAGTTTTATGCACAATTTCATGATAAATAAATATTATTATTTTTTTCCTTTCAATAAATTGTATACAATCTTGGGCCTGATTCATGAAATATGTGACCATGTGTATTTGTGCACACTACAAGTACAGTTCAGTAGATTCAAATTTACACATACACCAAACCTTAACACCCGACTATGCAAAACCTGTAAATAAAACAGCACTACAAATTGAATAGGTTTGGGTGTCTGTCTATAGAACAACAGTTCTCTAGAAAACTTTGTATTGTACCAGTGTATGGCATAAGGAATTATTATTATTTTTTTGTCGTTTCTTTTTTTTTAACCTTGGGTCTTGAATATACCTTTTATGAAGCCTTTAAACCTAACTTTGAGAATTTTTCTTTTTTATTTTTGGGGTATTTTTATAATCATTTTTATCTTTATTTAAACGAGGAGTGGATCAACATTATATGCCAGACCCACAATCACCTTCAGAGAATCAAAACGTTAACTTGTAAAGGGACATAAAATTTCAATGTTGGTATTTCCATAAATACGGGCATATCATGCATTACGTTGTTTTAAATGACTTTTTTTTTTTAATGTGCATTGCAGTCCATTAACAGGCACAGTGCAAATTATGTTAAATATTACATTAGGGCAACTCATTTTGAATACCTTTCATTCACCTCTTTTGTTCTAGTAGCTTAGGCACCATTAAAGGTGGGCTCTGGGATTCGATGAATCAGTACAGATGGGTAAATTACTAGGTGAAAGCTTTTGGCTAATCGTGGGAAAACGCATAATTCTTTCACTAGTTTTATTGACTTTTTTTTCCCCCTTTCTATTCTAATTTTATTTCTCACAACCCTAAGCTCTTCACTGAACAAAGTGCAGTACCCAAGCTGCTACTTGACCACATAAACCTTTATTTTTGTGTTTAAGTAATTAATTGCCCCATAATGGGTGTTTTTTAAGATCCCTTGTGCCTGTGTTAATAAAGTCTCTGTTTTATGAATCAGGCTCATTGTGACTCTAGTACCTTGTATTGATTTTCATAGTTATGTTATTTTTTACTGTGTTCTGTGAAAATTTGTAATTGGTTGAGAATCACTGTTGGGCATCTATTCTTATACAACTAAATCTCTGCAGGTTTTTTCAGCTGGTGTGGATTAGTATAAATCTTGTATTCATCCATTAATGCTGCCACCTCTCACATTACAATACAATTACTGGAAGCAAATTCTGCATTTCCTATGCAACAAAAAAGGAAAATTAAAAAAATGCTAATGCTAAACTTGTTTCTGGTGTTTTTTTTTTTTTGTTTTTTTTTTTGCAATCTCGTTGGGGATAGAATTGTATTAATCGAAAATGAGAACCCCGAATTTAGAAATGAACTGCTTGTACATAGCATTATCAAGAAACAAAGATAGTATTTCACAATGCACCTGCTACAGCACACATAGAACTTGGTAACATTCTACAGGGCATAACATTTCACCTGGACACTGCACGATTGTGTGATAGGCAGAGCTGTAAAGACAATGTAGACAAATCTAGCTATTAAGCTACACATTAGCACTTTGTATAGATTACATTTATATATTTCATTTTAGTTACTATGACATCCAGTTTTTTAATCCTTTATGATATGCATTATTTTTGGGGAATAAATCTATTTATGGCAAAGGCATTATATTGCAAGTTTACAATATAACATTAACAGTAATTCAAAGTTAATTATTAGAAAAGTGTTAAACTGTTGCCAAATATTAAGGAACCTCTAAAATTTTATTTTAACTTTGACTTCTTTAGTATAAGTTTTTAATCAAGATCTTACAGTAATCATGTAAATTAGATGTATTTTGATCGCTAGGGATTATTCTAGTTTAGGTGACTGAATAATATAAATTTTATAAAAGACATTAGGCTTCATATTTGCTTATCTTTCTTTAATGAAACTCCCAGCAGCAAAGAAACAGTTAACATTAGTGTAAAAAAAAAATTCAACCAATCAGAATGCATAACAATAATATACAGTGCCATCAGACTCCTCCCAACTCCTCTTTCTTGATGTCGCCAAACTGTAGTAGCGTCAACCTTGTAATCAAAATTATCAACGAAACAGTAGACTCAGAAGATCCTTTTGAAGTCAACCAGGTAAACAAAGTATACCAAAGGGATTAGAAACTCCCTGCAGAGTCAATGCGAAACTTCACCCTACGAGAAAAGAGAGAGAACCGTGAGAGTATGGTCTCTTGGGTAAGATAAATTCAATACCCACAGGCAATTTAAAGATAACTGGTTTAAGTTATTAAACAATCTAACGACTGAGCTATGGTCACACAGTAAGTCAATAGCATATGAAATTACAACAACTGGAATAAGGCTAACCTCGTAATCTGGAGTCAACAATAAATATTAGAGTCTGAGACTTTCCTTATAGGGTGGGATAAAGTAATGTAAGGGAGGGAAAACATTCACCTCCTGTCATTAATAAAATATTGATTATTTGGTCACCTAAGCTAGTATAATCCCTAATTTTATGGCAAGACAGGAGGCTTCATATTTGCTTTTTTTAACGCTCTTCTATAATAGAAGAAACAGCACGTGTTGTAGGTTTGAAATAAATGTTCAGAAAGGTGGATTCTCTGGACCAGGATAAAATATCTGACAGAAAACTGCTCGCACGAAATGCAGAAGATGCGGACACACCTCTAACAGAATGAGCACCAAAAGATTGGTCAATTACTTCATTAGTGAGCAACCATCTAATCCAGTGTGCAGTCTAACATAAGAAATGAGCAGCGGTCCCGAAGGAGAACGTAGATTAGTTGTGCTGTCAATGTATTGACGGGTACAATTGGCAACGCAGAGAGACAGTCTGTCTGGGAAGTAAAGGTAGAAAACCGAGGAGGAATTCGTCTTTGTACTCCTGGTAATAGTAAATTTGACTCCGTCTGGTGAGAAAAACACTGTGTGAGAGTCAAAGGCCTGAAGGTTAGAAACTCTGCAAAATGATACAAGGCACAAAAGCAGAGCCAATTTGGCAGAGAGTTGGCGTAGGGACAAGGCCTCATTAGAAGGCCAGGTTTTCAAAAAGGAGAGAGACATCCCAGAAGTTGGAATATCTGGCAGTTGGGAGTCTAGTCAGCCGTATGCCCCGTAGATGTATACAAACAGAGGGGTGTTTCCCTATTGGCGAAATATCAATAGTATCGTGAGCCGCAGAAATGGCAAATCGAAATACATTTATTGATCTTTAGGTTTTGCCCATATCGAAGAAAAAGGATAACAAGTTCAATATTATTGTAATAGGGGCTGAAACTGGATCAGTGTACCTTTCCAAACACCGGCTGACCCAAATCCGCAATGCTGAAAGATAGGTTCGTTTAGTTCCTGGGGCCCATGAATCCTATAGGATTCTTTGAGCCGTGTGCGAAAGTCCTGCGACATGCCAGGATCCAAGGAAACGGTCCAAGCCACAAGTTGAAGATGACCCTGTAGGGCAAGTGGGTGACAATCGCAGGCTGGCCTCCTGAAGATATCGAAGGAGTGAGGAAAGAGAAGATGGAAGTATACAGATAATTCCAGTAGATTGGGGAACCAAGTCTGGTTTCTCCAGAGAAGTGTTATGATTACTATTTGGACTCCCTGGACTTGAACTTGGTGAAGGGTCGGTTGAATCATGGAAAAGGGGGGAAACGCATAGGCTCCCTTTGTTGGCCATGATTGCAGAAACGCATCTACCGCTGAGGATAGAGGGTCTGGAAGCCAGCTGAAGTAGGAGTCTGTCTGACGATTCAGACGTGACGCGAAAAGGTCAAATGAGAGGGGTCCCCGTAGGAGATGAATGTGGTGGAAAAGGAGAGGATCGAGTTGCCAATCGCTGGCATCTCTCCAATGATGGAAAAACCAGTCTGCGACTAGATTGTCGGACCCTGGGAGATATTCCGCTTGAATGGACAGATTCCTTTGCAGACAGTCATCGTGAGGTTGGAAATTAGTTTGGACCTGGAACCCCCGAGCCGGTTCACATAGCGTACCGCTGAGATGTTGTCCATTCTTAGCATTAGGGAATAATTGAGCATGATCCTGCGATGAGCTCTAGACAATTGATATGGTGCGCCTGCTCCGAAGGAGACCAGAGTCCCCCGATCGAAAATATGGCGCAAATTGCACCCCAGTCCAAGAGACTGGCATCGGATTCCAGTATGAAATCCAGTTGAGATCCGAAGATCGCTCTCCCATTCCATGCTTCCCTATTCCGTAGCCACCAGTGGAGTTCAATAAGGACCTTGTCCTTCAGAGAAATTAATTAATCGTAAGAAGTGGAGCGATGCAAGTAGGAGGTTTTCAATCGTTGCATTGCTCTGTAGTGTAATGGCCCCGGGAAAATGGCCTGGATCGATGCTGAAAGGAGGCCAATAGTGTGTGCAAGATCGCGTAGTCGAGGGCTTTGGCAGGAGAGTAATCTCTGAATTTCCTTCTTTATCATTTTTATTTTGGGGCAAGGCAGTTGTAGAATTGCCTGTACAGAATCTATGTGAAATCCCAGGAACTGGATTACCTGAGGTTTTAGAGTAAAGCCGAGGTCATATGTGTGTGAGTGCGGAGGACATGTGGGTCTTGAGCCATGTGTAGTATATCGTCTAACTATATGATGGAACGAACTCCTTGGGAACGGAGTAGTGCCATGACCGGTTTCATCAATTTGAAACACCAAGGGGCAGAGCAAAGGCTGAAAGGAAGTCAGGTGAACTGCCAAAGTGTGTCCTGCCATAGGAACTGAAGAAAAGCACAATGGCTTGGGACAACAGGGACTGTTAGGTATGCATCTTTGAGATCGAATCTGGAGAACCAGTCTCCCACGCAAAGCAGGTCCCTGAGAAGATGGATGCCTTCCATCTTGAAGTGACAATATCTCACATATTGATTAAAAAATTTTAGATTGATAATTGGCCGGTGGTCCCCAGTCTTTTTCTGTACAAGAAATATTTTGCTGAGGAAGGTACAATGGAAAGGCGATTATTCGATCGCCCCTTTTTCTCTGAGTTTGCTTAATTCTGAATTTAAAGTTAGTTTGTCTGCTTCTGACATCCATAGAGGTGTATTGTGTGGGGTGAGAGAGGAAGTCTATTTTAAAACGTATGACTGTATGAAGGATCCCTTGTTCCCGAGAAAGTAGTTTCCACTGTTGGAAAAAATGTGTCAATCGACCTGCAATCAGTACGTTTAAACAAGGAAGGTTTATTACCAATCAGTACGTTTAAACAAGGAAGGTTTATTACCTGAAGCAGTGTGTCCACGTATTGGCATCAAAGTGTCGCTTTTCGTCTTTCGGTTGAAATTGCCTAGGAGGCATAAAGCTCTCTGAGCCTATTCTCGCACAGCGTGGGGGTCAAACTCACCACTAGTGAGTGCCTCATCGGCAAGAGTAAAAATTTGGATTATGGGTCCTGCGATATCTAAAAGATTGTCTTGGGTTGCTTTCAACCCTTGTTCAATGCCCTTACGAGGGTCTTTGCCAGATTTTGTTAGAAAGGTGACTAGCATAGGGTCAAATTCCGCAGTGCAGGCTACCGTATCCCGAATAGTTGGCCCAGGGCATTCAGCCCGTAATTTTTTCCTAATTTCCTTTTCTAAGGGCTTGCGTAGCCATAGTTTACCGAAACTGGCAATGTGGTCTGGGCCAACTTTGTGTTCCTTTAAATTTACTCACCCTTATAATAAGACCTGTCTTCACTGACAGGACTTCCCAGGGCTCTTCTGCAATTTCTCTACCAAGAGGTTTCACATCAGACCTCTTAATAGCCGCCCCACTGAATTTCGCAAACGCGTACTCCATTTTCCAAGAGAGACCGCATTACCATTAATGGTAACAAGGATAATAGTAATAAAAAGTGTGTAGTTGAACATATATCTCAATTCATTAAGGCAGTGTAATCAGAATAGATTTACCTGGGAGGCAAGCAGCAAAGAAAGAGGAGTTGGGAGGAGTCTGATGGCACTGTATATCATTGTTATGCATTTTGATTGGTTGAACTTTTCACACTAATGTTAACTGTTTCTTTGCTGCTGGGAGTTTCAGTAAAGAAAAATAAGCAAATATGAATCCTCCTGTCTTGCCATAAAAGCAAGCAAAAATAGTGAAATTTGCCAAGCAGCATACAGATGGTTAACCAGGCAACGGTTGGTGAATTTGTTCTCTCTCCCTTGGTTACAAATATGATTGCTATGGGAACCTTGTATGGATTTGCATGTAAAAATAAATTTAAGTTATTTATTCACAGTAGC